AAGGACCACGGAACTGCGTCACCCGAGCTGAGCTGCCTGGGGAGGAATGTGCAGTTGTCGTCAAGTCTCTGGGTGGCTGTCGCAGAGCAACCGAGGTCCACTCACGCAAAGGTGAACAAGATTTCTAACAATAAGACCTGCCCGACAGCTGGACAGCTGGCGCAGAGGTTCAGGGCCCCGGGGCTTGTAGCACAAGAACCCCATTCTCCTCACTGGGAAGTTAGAAGAGCTTTATCTCTGAGCTCTAAATAAGTGTATGGAGTCACGGGTGACAGGATTGTCGATGTAAAGAAAAACCTCACACAATCTACCAAACTACTAAATAAGTGAGATTAGTACGGTTGCAGGAAATACAATTTCTTTTTGCATCTCTCTATGTTAGTAATGAAAATGAAATCTTAAAGACACCATTTAAATAAGTATACAATTAAAGCGAAAAACTCTAGTTGTAACTCCTATCTTAGATTCTAAAGTTTTTGTTATTTTAGAAAGGGAATTAGAAAACTAGAAGGAGGAAAATAACTATAAGAGGCGGATTTCTTTTCCTTAAAACAGCAAATAGTCACTGATAAACCACACTGTGCTCTGCAATCAATCCTGTAGTCTTATTCAGCAGATTATTTGAGAATACTAAAGAATTTCCCCCAAACTTGCTATCCCTGAGTATAGCTAAGACTCATGGAAACTTCCTGTTCTTCACCCTGTGCTGCTGCCTGAGTGAGGGCTCCGTTGGTCACACCCGACTCCAGCCTGGGACTCACAGGTGACTTAGCACCTGTCCCACTTCTGGGAGATTTCCTGTTTAAGTAAATGGCAACACAGGCTTGAAGGTCCCAGACCTGAACGGGTCAAATATTACCTTTGCCTCAAGTTAACGTCCCCAAAGGGTGGGTGTCTTCAAGGTCACCTGTACAGCAAGAACGCCAGTGGGAAGTCCGGAGGAGGAAGTGTGCTTGCCACGCAGGGCCCTCAACAAGGAAGGGAGCCGCCATTGCTTTGCTGTTACTTTCACATTCTAGGTTTAATTTTAAAAACATTTTGCCCAGTTACTACAGGCCTGTAAACGGCACTTTGTCCTGGAATGCTCGCTACACTAACCACAGCAGCTTCAAATGCCAGTAAAAGAAACGGCACCAATTGTAATGCTCTAGCAATTAGTACCATGTAGGGTGGGAGTGCCCAACGCCAAGGTGACTAAATCATCACTGAAACTTCTTCCCGTAGGTTTTAAGTAAAACCCATCTGTTTATTTTCCCCATCATTCTAGACGTACACAGACTTTTTGGTCAATGAACCACATTGTGGGGGGCTGAGGGGAAGTATTAGTATTTCTTACAGCCTTAGTAATAAAATGTGAAATTCCAAGGGGAGAGTAAATGGTTTCAAGTGTTTATTTGAGCACTGTTACTGAGCCTTCTCTTCACCTCCCCAGCTTAGACCTGAAGTAGACCCCGGGTGAACCTCAGGCTCCAAGTGCTGGCATCTTGCACTTCAGGCTCCTTGGCCTTTTCACATCTGGAACCCATGCCATGCTCTTCACTTCTCTTTGCTACTATTAGCACCATCACTCTCTTCTGGAACATGGGCAACAATCAGTCGGTCTTCTGCCTTCCCCTCAACCTCCTACACTTCTTTCACCACCTGCTGGTCTCCTGCTGCAAGGTGACAGCTAAGCCAGCTAAAGGAAAGGGACAGGCAAGATGCTGCCACTCGCCCAGGCCTCTGCATTCAGATGGAGGGGCTGCCCACGACAGGCTCATATATGGTGCTCACCACCCTCGCTGTGGATCTGTGAAATGTGCATGCATGCTACCCACACGTGAGTGACAGAGGGGCACAAGGCAAATTCAGCCCAGCAAGTTTTAGCTTATCCTATCCATTAGACACTGTCCCTGCAGAGCCCACATAGCAATAACAGTTTCTCTACCACTTCATGGTATCGCAGAGCTGCGTGTTTAAAGGTTGGTCATTTTCATGGGATTCAGAGAGGCCAAGCTCTGTCTTTCGGTGAAAACAAAAATTCTCAATCAGGGATGTAGTACTGAACTTCTCAGTGCTAACGTTTTCCACCAACGCCAGCGTCTGGTCGCTTCCAATGTTCGAGTGCTTGGCCTCAAGTAAATGGAAAATTCCAGTCTGAGCTGGCTCCAAGTGTGCCGCAGATGCAGCCTCAGACATCACGCTCATTGTCGTGACCTGCCACCTAGGGCCACGGGAAAAAGCAGGCTCGCTTTTACCAAGGGGGCAATCGGGTACTTCCTGAGGTCAAATCCTCTGTGGATATCTGAAATATTAAACATGCACCGATGTGTAAGACTAGATGTAATTAGCAAAGTTTAGATTACTTGCTCTCCAGTGTAGATTTAGGTGTTTGAAAATAGCTACCAGCTGCTTTGCCAAGGACAGTCAGACAGTAACAAGATGCCGGCCCTGAGCTGGCCTGCGGCGAACCTTCCCTTCCAGCCGGCGGAGAGGGAGGAGGGAGGAGATGCTTCCTTCCTGTGATCACACTGAGGTGACAGAACAGCCACTCTCCTCCTCCTGTCATTCTAAGGAAAATTACCAAGAGCCTAAAGAAGATAGGAGGCACCAGCAGGAAAGAGGGTAAATATGAACAAATTGGCTTTAGTTCCAAAAACACAAAATAATTTCAAGTTCCAAAGCACAGACTTGCTTTTAGTACCCAGATGAGAGGAAAAATATTAACTGGAAGCTGATTTCCAAATTTCAGATCCAGGTCTCCTGTTCCTCCTTCAAGTAAAAATATTGGCCTGTTTCCTACAGTGGCCCACTAATGGCAAAATTCTATATAAAACCTCCGTAAGCTTGGGGTTTGACTCAAAACTCCTATTAATCAAAAATGCTTCCAAAATAATGCAGTTGCTAAATGGTCTAGATTTCTCAACAAGTCGATTAGGTTTTGTGAACTCAAGTGTTTGATATTTTCAGCTCTTTTTGGGGAACTAAGACTTGTCCTTTATTTCTGAGAGGAATGCAAATTACCACCCACCATCTCCTGCATCTTCTTCAACAGGGAATAAAAAGTGCATGTTGGTGGAGCACCATGGCAACCCAGCCCTGTAATTATATCTCCAGACAGAGCTGAAGGGCAGGCAGAGTGGCATTTGAGGACTTCACAGACCTCACTTTTGGCTCTGAACATAAGAGAACCACAGTAGCCACTATTCTTAGAAAAGTAAAGCAACAGCACAATTAAGTCACCATATTAAGTGTCCAAAGAAAATATTGACTCAAATTCACCAAAACAGTTAAAATATGGGTTAATCATTGCAGAATCTCAAATCTAGTACTTAGAGGTACATACAAGGTAACAACTGAGATATCTGTGTGTAGAGAAAATGCTGGGGGTTTTTTAATTCCAGTTTTAAGGAGTCTAATTGGTATAAGGAAAGATAAAGAACCAACATTATTTCATGTCATGCTTAAACTTTATGTAATTATCATAACAAAAGGCTAACTTTCACCTGTACTTAACTAAAAAGTCAGGGAACTGCAGGTTCACTGTCCCACTCTTAACGAGGAATGGGGTGCGTGGATCTATCCACTAGAGCCAGAAAGAACTGGTGTGCCACCAGAGTCAGGCATGCTCATGTGCAAACTTGCCTTCTTCTGTCTCACTTCAAATAGAGTTTTTAACATTTAAATTGGTCAAAAAGGAAAGGAAAAAGGGTCTATGCAATCCTCACTTTCACACAGAATGAAGATACATTTTCAGCCCTAGCCTATTGGCCCGTGGACTGAAGGGTCCTGGGTTGAATTCCAGTCAAGGGCACATGCGTGGGTTGCAGGCTCAATCCCCATTAGAGGGTGTGCAGGAATCAGCCGATCAATGACTCTCTCATCACTGACGTTACTCTCTCCCCCTCTGAAATCAGTAAGAATATATTTTATAAAAAACATGTATTTTGATTTTGGCAGCATGTGGAACATCTCTTGACCATCCTAGGACTTCTGCTCTTATGGGCCAGGTTGTCCCAGAGAAAACACAATGTCAGTGTCTTCTATTTCATCTTATTCTCCGCAAGCACTCTTCTCTGTAAAGAGAAACTACATAGGCTGAGGTTGACGTGGGCAGCCTGTGTGCCTCCCCATGATGACTGTCCTACTCAAGTGTCCAGAATAAAGAGGCTTAATGTTCTGCTCTGCCCTGAAAGATTCTGAAATCAAGATGCATTCTTCATACTAAGATTGTTTTTTATAAAAATAGGCAGATAACTATCACAAGATAACCATGATCTGTCATTATTGTTGGTGACTGCCAATGATGCATAGGGAAGAATACAGCTTGATTTTCAAAGCCTAACCCTGAAGAAGCAAGACAATCAAAAACTTGTTTCGTCTAGTTATCATAAGCCAATTTGACACAGAAGTCACAAAGGGAAAATCTCACAGAGGGAAAAATATATCCAATTGGCCTGACATAGCACTTCTCAAATATAACCTACAAGCTCAATGTGCAGGAGAAAGATCTTCCAGGCATCAGAAGGCCAGGGCAAAACGCATGGCTGATGATGAACTCTGGGAAGGAGTAGGTGTCTTAGACCAGTGGTCGCCAACCTTTCAGACCTCACGGACCATCAGTGGTCCGTGGACCACTGGTTGGCGACTGCTGTCCCAGACCATTCAAATCTTTAAGGAAAGAATGAAGTCTTGAGTCTGTTCAGGTGCATGATGTAGAATTTTTTCAGATCCCATTTAATACTAACTTGGTACTACATAACATACAGATGGACCCATAGAAACTGAGCCAAGTTAATACTGCAAAATGAATAATTAAAAGTACCTACCTCTGGTTCTATAGCTTTCTGGTTCAGACGGTTAAATTCAAAGGTGGCAGTGAGACCCACACTTTTCTACATGAATCCTCCTATGATACTTGGACACGTAGGCCAATATAATCCAATGCATTGTCGACCGTGACACAGATAAAGTCAAGTAGTAAGCTTTTAATACTGAAAAATACTGCCAACCAACTTTGGTAACATTTAATCTACTTTATTTTAGGCCTTGTGGAGACACAATTTTGAAAATCTTAATTAAATGAAGGTCCCCATTTTAAAAAAATCATGAACTGTAGCCAACAGAAGATATATGTCTATATTACCATTAAAACAAGTATTTTTCAGAAAGAATCCTTTAATAATTCAGAAATGTGTATCTCACATACACATTTTGTAAAAATGGTATCATTTCAAACATGCTAGGAAAGGTGCACACATATTCTGTCTTATTGCCAAAATCTCCTCCTGTCCATTTCATTAGCATCACCATATTCTACAGTGGCCTGTGTACACTGTCCTAAAGATGATCCTGTGGAAAGAACACAGGAAAAGCTAAATGGGTCTAATATACAACTTGCTTCTTTTCTTCAAACACTTCTGCCCAAACTATGAAGATCTTTTAAATTCCTGAATTATCTTCTCAGATGACTGAAATAAGTCAGCCAATAGCTCATTTCATCCTGGAGCACATAGGACTATACTAGTAGTAATATTTTTCATTTTTAAATAAATGGAGGGAGATTTTGTAAAAAAATAAATTGAAGACTACATTTAAGGCATCATTTTATTATTTTCACTACTGGAAGAAAGGTAATCTCAGTATATGCATTCCTTTTCTCCCTTCTTGAGGTCTGAAAACAGCACTTGTACACAAAAGATTTCAGTAAGAGACATTTTTTGGTACTTTTAGAAGTTTGGCTTTGCTATTATCCTTGAATAAACTACATCTCTTACCTAATCTTTTTCATTTCAATTGTTAATTTGCTGAGCAAACCCTTTTCATCCACTTTATATAAAGTTTAATCTCAGTCATAGCCTCTTGACCTGTCAACACATCCTACTTACACACATGCAGACTAGACGGGGAGCTGCTCTGCCTTGGAGCTCCCAGAATTTATGGGCCAATTAATCCAAAGAATAAGGTTTATTATAAATGAAATGGGGTTTATGATATATATTGCAAACTATATATATTTACTTTCTATATAACTTAACAATTTAACTTCATACAGCATATTACAGGTGTCCCCGTTTAAGATACTTGTAGTTTCCCTAAGGTTAGGAATATGGTAACAACAGCATTTGATATGATACAAATATGTCTGATGCTAAATGTCAAAAGAACTTCTCCCATCTTTACAGATTTTTTTGGGTTGTTTTAAAATATATTTATTGCTTACATGGTTTGCTACGGAAAAGCTTTTCTTCTCATTTTGAATTTGGAAGTTCTATACAACTGAATACAAAGAGGAACAAAGTACCAAAGCTAATCTTGTGATTCTGCTCATGTGGTATAAACCAGTTTTGTACAAACCTGTAGAAGTAGTTTTTAAGTTCCCTTTAGAAAAATATGAATTCTATACATTATATTTTCCTGTTTAATGCATGGGCTGAAATCACTAGGATCAACTTCTTTCTTGAAGAAAAGAGAAGAGACGAAAGAGACGAACAGAGGGTTGAAGGTAAGACGAATCTTTCTGAAACTGGCATCCCACTGTCACATAGCTTCCCTGGGTGGGGAAGGAGGGGGCACTTGGAAAAACAGCCCTTTGGATTTTTTGTTGTTTTCACAGCCAGTAGTTTCATGTAGTTATTGACCCTCAGCATTGTGTCCACAAATCAAAGAGAAAAACTTGTACGTCAAAAAACTTTTCAGAAGATACACACACACACACACACACACACACACACACATTAAAAGCTAAGAGGAGAATCAAACAAAATGTGTAAGAAACAAATTAGCTGGACATGCAAACTAAGCTATGATTCACTCAGAGTTTAAACAAATCACAAATTTCAGTTTAATACTGGGGGAAGGGCAGCAGAACAACAAATAATACATTTTTCAACCTAATAAGATGTGGCAAGACATTATTGATTATGAGGGTACAGATGAAGGCTAAATAAAGCTTTAAATCAATAGTGATCATTGTGAGCCCCAGTGCACTGCCGGGGGATTTCTGCTACACCTCACTATTGTGTCGAGTTACGTTATGGCCGCTCCAAAATGTTGTGAGTTTTAGTGTGGAGAGTTGCAAAGAAAAATAAAACACTAGAAACCCAAATAATAACTACAAAAATCACAACCGTCATAAAAAATTAAGGGATGCAAGAACTGGTTTTAACTAAGCAGACCACATTGGTACAAAGTGATACAGGGACCACCGGTTCTGATGTATATTCAATAAATAAAACCTCACTTTGAAACTAGTTCAAACATCCGTAATACAGTTAAAAATTATATATACCTCAACGTTTTACCTTTCACATTCAAATATATATTCCTTTGAAGTCTGGGTGGTTGGATTTTGGCCAGCAGAAACTGGTGAGGAATTCAGAGAACTTTTTACTAGAGAATTTCAAAGCACTCCTCAGCATCCCTTTCTATAACTGAATAAATGCAACATAATTATGAAACTGGGTGGCAGCAAAACAAATGGACTGAGCAAAAAGGTGGATACTCAAGAAAAGCAAATTACAGTCTCAGGATTATTAGTACCGTCTAAGAACCCACAATTTATCCCCATTGGAAAATATGTCCTGTGCAATGTGCACAGTGAAAGGAAATTGTTTTAGAAGAGTTCTATATAATGCAAGATATTAAAACACAAGGCAAAGTCTCAAGTGGTTAAAAAAAATAAGAAAAAAACCAAGAAATTTGTTAATATCTTAGCATTTCATATCTGAAAATAGGTGAATTATTTAACAAACAGGCTAAAACATGTCAATTATATTTAGATTTCAAAATGTGCTGTCAATTTGAAATCGCAAGTTCCACTCTGAGAGGACTAACCATTCTCCTGATCAGCACTACACCAGGCACACCAACGGCTCCTGGCCCTCCCCTCACTACTCTGCCCCACCCGCAAACGAAGTTCCAACCACATTATATTCATTTAAGAGGTGTTCCAATATAATGATTAAATGTATCAAATGTAAACATTCTTTTTCCTCTAAAGTATTTTCTAAATTTGGCCAAACTAAATATTAAATACGAAAACCTGCCAAATAGCGGTGATTTTTGCAGGATTGTTCCTGCTGGTCCCTCAGATAATCTAAACAGACAATCTAGGCAGACACCGTTCCCTCTTGCAAATATCAATTCAAGGGAAATGAAGTAAAAGGCAGTTAAAACAGATACAGACCCCCTAAACACACCCACACAATCATGACAACTTTCATATCTGACAATGGTTGAATTTCATTCCAAGCAGATACTTTAATGATAGTTTTAGTATAAAAAATGTTAAGTAAAACACTCAAGCAAGGATTCAATATCAGTGAAAGAGCAGCAACTACAATTTTAAAATTTATTCCATAATGAGATCACCATTAAGTCTGGGAGAAGACACTGGGAGATAGTGCTGGCTTATGGAGACAAGACCTGCTAGTGGCAGGAGAGTGGGTACGTCCATGACAACCTGGTGCCATTTTCCATTCTTCCAAAGCGGTATTTTCTTGAAAACCACGAACTTGAATCGCTGCTTAAGATAATCTGATTTCAACAATGAACTTACGGTATAGTTACTTTCACTTTTCCTCTGAAAAATTAGTTGAAAAGGACACAAACAATTCATAGTTTTATGTTCTAGGTGAAAAGGTACTATGGCCATATATATTTACTTTAAAAATTTGATTATGACAAGCTTCAGGTAAAAATCATTTTTAAATGGTCAATTTTTTCATTTACATATAACCAATACATCTTATTTACATGTATGACTCAATTTTTATTCAATTTTCTTCATATAAAGTCTATAATTTTAACTGGTATGTAACTGTTAAACACTTTTTTTTTTATAGAAACACTATTCTCTTATTCATAGGTAGTTTTGATGATAAAAGTTTGTCTCCATAATGAGAATGAGGACTGAATACAGTTAAAACTTCAATGAATAACATAAAGATGAACACTAGCATAACTTCCTGTCTAGGGCCACATCAGTTATTCAAGAAGTCAACTGCCTCGTCTGCGTAAAGTATCGCTGCAACAAAACACAAGCAAGTCTGCTTCTGAGGACCTTGAAAAGAGTCTTAGACATTAACACTGCTCAATGCTGCTGTTGATGTGAAATTCTTATACTGGGTTCATATTTTTCTTTTCAAAGAACACTGATTTTTCTAGTGACACTTAATGTTAAAAAGGTTATCTTAGTTCTTTAACCTTAACTCCGAGAATTGGCAGAGTTAGGAAACCAACCAAAAATATACTCAGGAGCATGAATCTGTCCCTTGTCTCTTAAGGGTTAAAAGGCAGGGATCGTTTATAACCTCTTATATAAGACACCCTATTCCACTTTTTTTTTAAAAGAAACCTTTTCTTTGGTTTCTTGTAATTTTTCAGTGAGTCTATCCTTCGTTTCTTCCATTTTCTCTGTGAGAAGCTCCTTTGTCTCTTCCATCTTATCCTGTAGATACTCCTTCACAGGAGGCGGTGTTGACATGTAGCCACGACTACGCAGATACTTCACAGTGAAGGAGGTTCCCCCCAAAGTCACGGTATATCGGGCAGGTGTTGCAATCTGAAGGAAAAAAGCAAACAGGCAGGTCAATACCTGATCATGACTACCGTCACAGGCAGAAACAACGGGAAATTACTTTACTGCTTTACAATGCTAATGAGTTGTATTCTATATGGTTCTCCCTCCTAACCAGTACCTAGAATTGGCACTTGGCACACAGTAGGGGCCCCACAAGTTTTAAGCAACTCAACCAATGGTGCATTCCAAGGACAGTGCAAGGGGGTTATGAGTGTGTCCTCGCCAAGGCCACAAGGTCATACTCTCTGGTTATTTATTTACTTTTTTCATCTCTGCCACAACTCTGCTTATCAAAGCAATAAATCTCAGTGTTTGTTGCTCTATTTAAGACTGTGGGTTACAGTAAATACTCAAGAGAATCCCCCTCCACATTTCCCACTATGCACAGGAACAGTGAGTGAGAAGAAAAGCTGCTAACAGTAATTACCTACATGTACAGTTTCATGTTTCAATCTAAACCCAACAAACATGCATTGAGCATCAATTTGCCTGCAAAGCACAATACCAAGCACATGGAAAACACAAAGAGAAAGAAGACATGATTCTAAATTCCGGGGCACTCATAATCAAATAAAGAAAACAAACTTTAAAAAATAAAAGCAGTGCCCTAAGCTGGTTTGGCTCAGTGGATAAAGCATGGGCCTGCAGACTGAAGGGTCCTGGGTTCGATTCAGGTCAAGGGCACATGCCCGGGTTGCAGGCTTGATCCCCAGTAGGGGGCATGCAGGAGGCAGCCAATCAATGATTCTCTCTCATCATTGATGCTTTTATCTCTCTCCCTCTCCCTTCCTCTCTGAAATAATTAAAAATATATTTAAAAAAATAAAAGTAACACAGAGACTGTGGTATGAACTATACAAGAGCTACACACATTATGGGAGCATGGGATAAGGAGCAATTATAATTAAGGAAATGGTTTAAATCATTATCAAACAGTTTGATTTATTAAGGTTAAATTATGTCCACAAAAGCTATAAACTTGATCATTTATGAATTTAATAAATTTTAATGTTGAAAAACTCAGCAATTAAGCTTAGCTTGCTAGTCAAAATTATAGTAAGAGGAAATCTCAAGATTTCAGAGGATTCTAATAAGGATGACAAAATAAATCAACTTTAGTTTTGAGTGCTATTATAAAACCATAATTTTAAGTATTTTCATGTAATAAAAGTAAAATAACATCTAGTTTTCAAATGCTTTCTATCTGTTTCCTCTCTTAGTATGAAGCTACAAAGAACCTCATAATTATACGTCAATAGAGAAAAATAAGATTAATATGGCTTAATTCCACAATGAATCTCTTCTGAAAAAAAGACCCACAGGTGTAGAAATAGTTATAAAGATGTCATTGTCTAAATCCAGAAAAGTTATAAAGTCTATGAACTTCTAAAATAAAACATACACAAGATCTAACAACTAAGTCTAATTAGGTTTATCACATAAAACAACTTGCATTAAACTTTATATTTTACTTATTAAGAAATGATCTATTTATAAACAGTAAAATAAATGCTAAATTTCACTTACAAGTCAGGTGGCATGCAGATCTCTGAATAAGAAAAATTAATATACTATGTATAAGAAAAATGTCAAAAAAAATGACTTGTACCCTAGAAATTCAGAAGTTTCACATGTGATCACAGCAGATTATGAATGATCTACCTATTTTCAAGGCATCTTCCTAAACCATCATTTTATTTACACTTAAATTTTTTTAAATTTTATTGGACATGTAAGAGATGAAATGCAGTATTTTCAAAAAAGAACTATTAGGTGCTAACATTGAGTTTTCTGGGGAACTGAGCAGGTCATCGGTTAAGTGTGAGGAGTAATTAATTTCTAATAGTACCTACCTTAAACAAGGCATATGCTGTTAGGGCATTTCCGCTCTGGGAATTTTTCAAAATGTTTACTATGCTGTCAGGTAACCCAATAAGCTCTAGAAAAGGAATGACATTCACTCCTCTAAGAAAGAAACAAAAAGTAATTTATATATATATACATACACACACACACACATACACATTTTAGGGATAGTTTCAAAAGATTATCTGAAAACAACAAAACCAAATTTTGTTTAAACATCAGTTTTATGTTATCAAGCACTTTAATTTCACTCTAAACGAACTATACGTACACAAACACCAGTGTTGTATTATAGCTTACTGTGTGCAACTTCTGCATTTAACATATTCAAAAAAATAGAAGCATTTATCAAAGCAAAATTAATAACTTTATGTAACCCAGGAGAAAAGGGTCAGAATCACTTACCTGATCTTAGTTTTCTCAACTAAATATCACTTTGTTAGTTAGAATGCTCCAACTCAAACTTTAGGACCTAAGATTTTTTTTACCTCTAGTATTACATGCCAAACTATAATATTATTGTAAAAGCAAGTTATATAACATTACTTACTGTATTACTATGCAAAGAATAAATGATTCTAATGATTTGAATAAATTATTTGATGAAAACTTTAATTATTCTAAAAGGGTGCTTCTACACTATTATCAGAACTGAATAGGCAGGTGAACAATTACCATAAATTGCAACACATTTTTGGAGGGAGGGAGAGAAGGCAGAGAATGTCTTTAATCTGAGCTGTTAAGCTCTAATTTATTTGTAGTTTTTCTGATTATCAATATTTTATTACATTGGCATGTGCATGCATTTGCAGATATTGAGACCCTTTACCTCTAAATCAGAACAAGGCTCTTGTTCTGTGATTCTCCTACATTAACATAAACTTTCCTGAATTGGTCTAGTATATCCCTTAATGCTATCCTGTCATGTCTCTCTAGTCTCCTTTTCTCTAGAAATGATTCCCAGGACTTTCTGTCAAGGAGGAAGGCAGCATGTCTTTCTTGACACCGAGATTTTAAGCTTTCCGTCCAGTTGCACGGTAGACTATCCCTCAATTTGGATTTGTCTGATTGTTTCCTCACGATTAGATTCCGGTTAAATGTTTTTCAAAAGGAAAACTGCACAGTTCATTTCGGTGCATCAACAGGGGCCACATAATGGTAGTTTGTTCTATCACCGATGTTAAATTTGAGGTAGGGTTAAGGTAGGGTCCAGAGATTGTTCCACAGTACACGTACTCTTTCTCTTTGTAATTCAGAAAAAAATTGCCTGGATTCATTATTATTATGGTAGTTGCAAAATCCTAATTTATTTTTAATATTAAAAAATAACTTGGTAACTGGGGAAAAGTCCGTCTCTATGATTTCATTATAATACTAAGAAACCAGGGATTACTCAATAGATATGGCTGAACATCATCAAGAAAAATTACCTATCATCTACAAAAGAAAACCAGATAACTGAAGTAACCTTTGAAGAGTTTAAGGAAGATGTCAATTACAAATCCAATCTGGTTTCTTCTATCTCTAAAATCAGTTCTTTTAAAAACCTCTTTCTGCCGTAACCAGTTTGGCTCAGTGGATAGAGCGTCGGCCTGCGGACTGAAAGGTCCCAGGTTCGATTCTGGTCAAGGGCATGTACCTTGGTTGCGGGAATATCCCCAGTGGGGGGTGTGCAGGAGGCAGCTGGTCGATGTGTCTCTCTCATCGATGTTTCTGAGTCTCTATCCCTCTCCCTTCCTCTCTGTAAAAAATCAATAAAATATATTTAAAAAGATAAAAATAAAAACCTCTTTCTTAGACAGAATCCTATTAAAGCAAGACTTAGTATCATAAAGACTATTCTATGGCTTTAATAGTCACAATGTACAGTAACATCCTACCACAACATGCTAATTACCTTCCAGTGCCAATAAAATTATAAAATTACTCCATTAATCATTTTCTAGTTCAGACTAAACCCAGAATGTAAAATCTACATATTTAACAGCAATCATAAAGGGGGAAAAAGACAAACATTTGGCCAAATATAAGACAAAATGGGGTGATTAAAAAATAAAAACTACCATAATAATAACCTCAGACACCTTACATATGTATCCTTTGTAAAATACAAAAACAAGCACCTGGTTCCACTTATTTCTAAAATATTGATTTGATGACTTGACTTTATAAAAAAACTTTTATTTTCTTTGGAATTGCTAAGTATGAAGTATCAATGAAAGTTTGATTCAAATAATATCCATTTTTGAAACTTTTTACTCTGAACTTCCCACAGCCTGACAAAAATCTCTGCTTCCCAAACTGCCAGCTTTATGGATGTTCCTAGTGGCGCAGAAACACACAAGGGCAAAGGCACATTCACAGTCTGACTAAAGTGCAGTAAAAATCAGTTAGGATTTTGCCTCAGAGTGAATCTGTAGCTTTAGGAACCTGAGGCCCAAAACATGAGGCATCTAAACATAGGGACAAAACCATCATCACAGAGCTACATTTGACCAAACAGAAGACTTCTGCTTAGAAGACATAATGTATCTGCAAGTTTTTGCCAGATAGGGACAACAAAGTTTAGTTTAAAATAAAATCCATTACCACGCACAATTTAGATCTCCCTGAAATAAAATGTTTCAAAAGCCTGAGGTCTTGATCACTGACTTAACTAAATAAAGAATGGCATTTTGCTTTATGGTGACTAGCAAGGCAGCATGCTGGTTGTCGGAGTGACTAAAACAAACACTGGTCAGTAATGCAATGTGACTTCTAATGCCCATCCTTCAAGTTACAAATTATTTTTTCTTCTTTCTTTTAATAGTAAGCAGGCAACAAGCTAAAACTAAAATAAAATAAAGCCAGCCTCTTGTCAGTTAAATTAAAAAACAAATCACCTGTATTTAATATAATCAACTCCAATCGATATCTATAAAAGCCTCAGCAACCGAATGACCAGTTGACCTGTCACTATGACAGGCAGTAACCACCAGAGGGAAGACACTCAATGCAGGAGTTGCCCCCTGGTGGCTCCCACAGCCAATCTCCTGGGCCGGCCAATTTCCCACAGCCCCGATCACCAGCCAGGCCAAGGGAACCCACTGTGCACGAATCCATGCACTGGACCTCTGGTTTTATAATAAAATCATCTCACAATGAAAGATAAATTGCCATTTGAACATATCTTAAGTCCTTATATTTTTTAAATATTACTTGCAATAAGATCTTACCAGAACAAATCAATTTTCAACTCCTGCAGTATTACAGATTCAGTAAAAACATTAAGGACTATGCTGGGAAGCAACAAACCTACAAAATACAATTTTTTAGCTATGAGATGCTATAACAGAATTGGACCAGTAGTCATAGCTGGGCAGCAGTGGTGGGTCTGGCACACAGATTTCGCATGCTGGCAAATAGCCAACAGACAAGTTCTGATGGGGAATGCGGTGTGATTTTTAAAGTAGGCTGTCTTATCACCATGCTTACACACAAACATTGTGAGAAAAGAGGGGGAAGGCTAAAACTGAGAGAGATGCATTCCACAGGGGATGGCAGAATGTCACACTGCCTCTGGTGCCAGATAGCAATGAAAAAAACCCTCAAGAATAACTATTATCACTAGGTTATTTGGGGTCCGATTTTTTATAGAAATCTTTAACTCAAGAAGGAAAAGTAAAGGAAACAAAAGTACTCTTTGTAATAGTCCAAATGAGATGATCATATTCAATTAATTAGAAATTTAGATTTCTGCCTCTAACGCCAGGAGACTGAATGCTTATTAAGGGCAACCCAAGGAAGGCAGAAGAAACAAGTATTACTCATGTTATCTTCCACAGTACTGAATTAGAAAAATCCTCAATGGCTCAAAAAAGGAAATTTAAGATGTAAAAAGCCATTAATTAAGTATAAAAACGGAATGCCTATAATAACTTTTATGCAAAATGGTATACACTTTTATTCTCTGCTAATAAACTAAGGGCAGTTTCAAAGACTTCTATAAAAATTATCCATGTCCAGAAAATGTCATTAATAAGCAAAGAGAGAATTCCATAAAGTGTACATACAAGGAACTCCTGAGAAAAAATAAAAACATTAAAGAAAATACATAATAAAAATATATAATTAAATAACAAAAACACAATGGAGAAAACTATGAAGAGAAACAAAAAAGCACCAATTACACAAGGTTAAAAAATCCTTTTATACCTTTTATAAAAATAGATCTCTAATCCCGTGTATCCCAAGAAAAAGTATAATCTTAATTCCATCATCCTTTAATTTAGTAAATAATAAGCTTTCTCCAAGGAGTGAGCTTCATAAACAAAACTGCCACATTTTATTAATACCTTAATATCAAGTTAAGTAAATATAACCAAACACTGAAAATCAATGGACTTTTGGAAAGTATAAAATAATTCTAATTCCATTAGAAGAGTTTACTAAAATGTCAAAATGGTCTTCATTGTGCTGTCATCATTGCCTTCAGGACAATGAACTCACTGGGCTTCTCAGGACCAGACCAGCACTTTTCTTGTTCAAAGGAACAGGGACAGGTTGGTACCTACTGGGTTCTGCTAGAGCAGTGGTTCTCAACCTTCCTAAAGCCGCGACCCTTTAATACAGTTCCTCATGTTGTGGTGACCCCCAATTTCATTGTTACAAATTGAACATAATGAAAGCATAGTGATTAATCACAAAAGTAATATGTAATTATATATGTGTTTTCCGATGGTCTTAGGAGACCCCTGTGAAAGGGTCATTCGACCCCCAAAGGGGTCGCAACCCACAGGTTGAGAACCGCTGTGCTAGAGGCAGAAACAAACTGGAAATTATTGGGAAGCTGTTTCTATGTGTATTCTTGCTCCAAAAGAAAGGAACATTTAGAAATTCTATGTTTAACAACATTGGCAGGTTAGGCCTACTAAATTAATTTTTTTGAAAAAGTTTATTTTATTGAGGTAAGAACACTTAACATGAGATCTATCCTCTTAACAAAATTTTAAATGTACATGAAATTAACTTCTGATAAGAATAAAAGATATACATTGACATTTATCAGATATGAGTAACGTTAAAACATAAGTCTGCAATTTGCTCAAGTTTGTGTCTATAACAGGTATTAGCCAAAATTTTGCAAAAATATCTTATGAATTTTCCACTAAAATCATACACATGGAAAAATAATAGATGTCTTTTTACACTTATGAACACTTTAAGAAATATATAAGTACAAAATTTCTGGTGCAGCTAAATTTCTGAAATATGATTTATCTCTGTGCTACCCTAAATGTTGATGGGAGGTGAACACAGTGACTAAGAGCATGAGCTTTGACATCAGACTCTCAGTTATTCTGGGAAAAACTAAGTTATTTTGGCTTATTATTAAAATCTGTTTTCTCATTAAGATGGGAATTGCACTACCTGCTTCATACGATTGCTGTGAGGATTAAATGAGATAATACAGTTAAAAAATTTAGCAATGCCTGATGTACACAGTAAGCAAATGTTAATTATTATTAAAATGTGACAAGGTTATGAAAAGTAGTCATTCTCTATCAATTAAAGACATTAAAGCATTTAAAAAACTATTTAAGGCTTTCAAAACTATTAACAGACTGAGGATTCTCAGAGGGAAGGCAGGGGTAGGGGGGTAGGTGGGGAGAGATTAACCAGAGACTTTATATGCATACTAGAGGCCCGGTGCATGAAATTCGTGCACTGGGTGTATGTTTGTGTGGGGGTGTTCCCTCATCCCGGCCTGTGCCCTCTCACAGTCTGGGAGCCCTCGGGGTTATCTGACTGCCAGCTTAGGCCCAGGGAGTGTGGGGAGCGGGCCTAAGCCGTCAGTCGGACATCCTTAGCGCTGCCGCAGAGGCAAGAGAGGCTCCCACCACTGCCATTGCACTTGCCAGCCATGAGCCCGGCTTCTGGCTGAGAAGCGCTCCCCCTATGGGAGTGCATTGACCACCAGGGGGCAGCTCCTGCACTGAGCGTCTGCCCCTGGTGGTCAGTGCGCGTCATAGTGACCGGTCGCTCAGCCATTGGGTTGATTTCCATATTACCCTTTTATTATATAGGATACTTATACCAATGGACACAGAAAACAGTGCGGTGAAGGCTCGGGGTGGGGAAGGGCAGGGTGGAGGGGGTTAAAGGGGAAAAAAGGGGGACATCTGTAATATTTCCAACAATAATTTTTTTAAAAAGATTAAACATTTTGATAAAACAGGGAAAGATGCTCAATCAAGCAAAAACTTACTTCATGGCTGCATAATAAAATGTTCCAAACCAAACACCAGAAGTTATTAGATGGACTGGAATCAACACTTTTCCATACTGTCTAAAAGTTCTCTTAAATCGTTGATAAAGGCTAATAGATTTGTCTTGTAAAGGATCAGGTTCTTCTTTTTTTTCTGAAGGCGTTCCTGGAGATGTGGCATTGGATGACATTACCCTCTTCGAGGAAGCATCTTGCTCCCACTGTTTATAATGAAGAACCCTCAGTTGGGGTGAAGGAGCATCGAATGGCTTCCTTGCTTTTGCAGTGCACTGGGCAGCAGATAAATGCAGCCATTGTTTTAGAGGAACCTGTACCAAAACTACTCTGGATTCAGCTGTATACAAAAGTAATGGTCCCTTTATATATTGACAGTGTCCAAAAAGACCAGCTTTATGTGGGTCCATGCATGTCCTATGTGCCAGTTGGAATACAGTCCTTGGTACATTCCATTGCATTTTGAAGAATGGTGATGGATGGATTTCAGCTTCTATAGAGAATAGATTTAAAAATTAGATTATATAGATTCCCTTTTTAAACTAATCTACTTAAAAATGAGTCATTAATTATTAGGAAGTAAAAGAAAAGACATTGCTACCAAATCCACAAAATTAATGTTACGGTATACAACTGTAACATAATGCAATTTTAAAATCTCATTAAAATACATCGCTTAAATATGATAGGGTACATGAGTCTAGCAGACATCATGGAGGGTTATGTTTGGAAGCGATTTTATTACTACAAAATGGATATTTGTAGGGCTCTATTATTCTACAAAGAAGCAGTATAGTATAATGGAAAGAAGTCTTAAGATCTGGAAGCAAAAGATCTGGGCCCTAACGTCATGGGGACATAATTCCATGCAATTCCCTTTTAGACACCAAGCCCACGTCCCCTAGTAAAATGATTATTTCACAGGCTGTTATAGGAATTCTATGAAATTTCTGATGTAAACATGCTTTTGTAAATTAACAAGCATCATATAAGTGTTAGTTATTATGGTCTAATGAGTAGTTATCAGTATCATTTATCCTATAATGCCTTTAGACCAGCGGTTCTCAACCTGTGGGTCGTGACCCCTTTGGTGGTCAAACGACCCTTTCACAGGGGTTGCCTAAGACCATCCTGCATATCAGATATTTACATTACGATTCTTAACAGCAGCAACATTACAGTTATGAAATAGCAACGAAAATAATGTTATGGTTGGGTCACAACATGAGGAACTGTATTTAAAGGGCCAGAAGGTTGAGAACTACTGCTTTAGACTAAATTATATAAAACTGTAAATCACATGTTTTTGGCTGGTGGGAAGAGAGATGGACTTTTCCAGATATCTATAACTTCTTTGTCAGTAAAGTTAAAATGTAATTTTAAAAGAACATGGGCTTTGGAATAAAATGTACCCAACAGAGTTAATAGTGGTATTATTTTGAGAAAATTAGTTGGCCTCTCTAGATATAGGTTTCCCCACTGGTATGATAGAATTTTAGTATGTATTACTATATAGCAAATCAGTTCCTCTCTCTTGGCATCAGGAAGTGCCACTGACACCTTATCTCCACCCCACCCAATACTTCTTAACTTACTACAGTGGGGCCTTGACTTACGAGTGTCCCGACTAAGAGTTTTTTGAGATACCAGCTGTCTCTCCGCCGATTTTTTGTATTGAGTTGATAGAGAAATTTGAGTTAACGAGCTCCTTAATGATCTTGGTCTCGGAACGAATTAAACTTGTAAGTCAAGGCCCCACTGTACTTCTGATTGAGAATAGGTGATCTTACTTTTTTAAATTGTATACTAAACAAGAGTCAACGAGACTTGAGTTAGTACCCCAATAAATCAACACTCCAATAAATAGAGCTACTCTACTACATTTTACACGAATATTTGTTATCTCGGTGCAAACTATTATCAAATAAAATCATCCACTAATGAATTGTTCCCTATAAAATTAATACCCTGACTCATCCCTCCCTAATTAATAATTAACATCAGCTCCTATCAGGCTCTTACAGATCATCCAACAACACAATGCAAATAAGTCGCAAAATGAAATTGTAAATATCTCAAAATTAGCAGGCTCCCAGGAAGTCTTTAAAGGTGATACTAGAAATTGCTACAGACAAAAGCAAAGTCAAGTAACAGTCTGAAGAATCAGACCATTTAACAACCAACATGACAAGCTACAGGTGCTTCAAATAAAGAATATTAAATGAGTAAGAAAGGCCATACAGAAAGATTAAGCCCTTAATTATTTTTACAAAACTGAATTAATTCTGAAAGCCAAACATGCTAAAAAGCTCTTCCAACATGCTAAAAGGGCTCCTGCCTTAAGAATTATGCACTAGCCCTAACCGGTTTGGCTCAGTGGATAGAGCATCAGCCTTTGGACTGAAGGGTCCCAGGTTCGATTCTGGTCAAGGGCACATGCCCGGGGTTGCGTGCAGGAGGCAACCAATCAATGATTCTCTCTCATCACTGATGTTTCTCTCTCTCTCCCCCTCTCCCTTCCTCTCTGAAATCAATAATAATAAAAAAAAGAATGAATTAAAAAAAAAAGAATTATGCACTAGATATTTCCTCTGCTAGGAAGTCTTTTCAAGTTAGCGTGGCTAATTTGCTTCCCACAAGTCTTTGTTCAATGGCACCAGCTCCCTGATGCCTCCTTTGGCCATTTTATTTAAAACTGCAACACTGCTCCCAATCCCCTCCCTTCTAGCCCTGACATTCATCCCTATCTTCCTTACCTTGGTCTATTTGTTTCTTTTTGCATAGCACTCATCTTCTAACATCCTTTATAATTTACTTATTTATTGTGTTTACTACTAATGGTCCCACAAGGAAGGGTTTTCCTGTTTTGTTCACTGCTGCATCCCAGGCCCCTAAAACAAAGGCTGGGTGGCACATAGGAGGCACTCAATAAATGTTTAATAAATAATTTGATAAAGCCAACCCCCTATTCCCTTTAAAAATGAACCAAAGTTATGAGGGGTGAATTTTCTCACCTTTAGCCTTCCCCCTCCCCGAGTTACCTGCATCCACACCCATCTAAGAATCCATTAACTTCTTCCTCAGAAAATAAAACTGTCCCTACATTCAAAGGCTAGTCCTCCACTTGTATTTTAAGCTAACTTCTTCCTGTTTAGACTCTGCTCAATCACATTTTCCGTATATAGTGGGGCCTTGACTTACGAGTTTAATTCGTTCCGAGACCGAGCTCGTTAACTCAAATTACTCTATCAACTCAATGCAAAAAATCCGCCAAGAGACAGCTGGTATCTCAAAAAACTCGTTAGGACACTCGTAAGTCAAGGCCCCACCGTGTGTGTGTGTGTGTGTGTGTGTGTGTGTGTGTAATTTACTGCTATTCTTGTTCCTATACTTGAACTGCCCTCTGCTCTGAGTTTTTTTCCTTCAGTATATTGATATACCATTAACCCCTTCCCCGGCAGAAACGTGTATACTCGTTTTCACAAAATGTTCTTTTTCAGTCGTCGATGAGTATACTAAGAAAATATGGTAAAAAAATATGGTTTATAGGAAGACGAGTTACAAACTGTTTTCATAACCAGCATCAAAAATACTATATAGAACCAAAATAAAAAAATTAGTCTGAAAAAGAAACGTTTTTAACAAAAAAATTGTTGGGGAAGGGGTTAAGAAATGGGTTCCTTTGTAATATCTGCCCAATTTCCAATTGTCCTCACTACATTCTAGGATCCCCAAATCAGTAGAAGCAGTCCCTGCTATAATTCCTGAGCCACAGAGCAGAGCAATCACAGAACTCTTCACAGATCACCAAGGATGCTGGGGCGCCTCTCACAAATTTACTCCTCAAAATCATGTGAAATCACCTCTAAAGGTGAGTGAACAGGTCTCACATGGTAAATCCACTCTATCATCCCAGTCTCCCTTAGATCCTTTCCTTTATAGTATACCAAGGCAGGTCTGGCATTTTAACTTTATTTAGCATAGGTCACCTTTGGTCCATGTTTCAGCCAAACAACCAAACTGTTAGAGCCCTTTCTAACCCCCCAAGCTATGACAGTGAATACAAAATCTCTGCTTAGTGCTCCTTGATCAATAAATTCAGCCTGATCTTACTTTGTGTTTCTTTCACAAGTATTCCACACTTCTGATATCCATCCCTGCACATATTCCCCAGAGATCTATCTGTGGCATTTTTTTTTAAATCAGTTTTTAAGAATGCAGCACACCTCTTCATGGGTCACACTTTGCAGTTGACCCTTGGAGGCCTGCTGAGACTGAAGTCGAGTTATAGGTCTAGAACAGTGATGGTGAACCTATGACACGCATGTCAGAGGTGACATGTGAACTCATTGTTTTGGTTGATTTTTCTTTGTTAAATGGCATTTAAATATATAAAATAAATATCAAAAATATAAGTCTTTGTTTTACTATGGTTGCAAATATCAAAAAATTTCTATATGTGACATGGCACCAGAGTTAAGTTAGGGTTTTTAAAAATGCTGATACGCCGAGCTCAAAAGGTTCGCCATCACTGGTCTAGAAACAAGGGAAGAGTGGTAGGGGCAGTTCTTGAGAATCAGCAATATCTTGCAAGGTAATTACCTCAGGAAAGGCCATTACAGGTTCTTCAGTCAAAGCATGTTAACTTCCTCAAACAGGTGGCAAAAAAGACTGATCAAAATTTAGGGGCTCAGTACCCTATTCCAAATTTGAGGATCTTATTCCTTCCCAATCAATGCCCTCATTTTAACAGCAGACACACTGTCAATTGAGAATTCATTTTGTATTATAATTCAGCCACTTTGCAGGGTGAGGCTCTGGGTTTGGTTTTCAGCAATCTCAGCTTTGTAACAATAGGAGGGGTTAGGGGACGGAAAGGTTTCTTTAGAGAGGACACAGAAACTTTCAGGTAAATTATGCAGAACTTGAAGACTTGAGCTTATCTCCCCCCCCCCCCAACTTTTCCCAACACAGTTAGGAGCAACCAGTCAATCTCATTAGACTTGTTGACAAAAATGTCATCCAGAACTCTGTCTTTGCCCTGGCCGTTTTTGCTCAGTGGATAGAGCGTTGGCCCTCAGACTGAAAGGTCCCGGGGGTTTGATTCCCAGTCAAGAGCACGGACGAACCCTGGTTGCAGGCTCAATCCCTCATGCGGAAGGCAACAGTTGATGTGTGTCTCTCTCACATTGATGTTTCTCTCTCTGTGTCCCTCACCCTCCCTCCCCTCTCTCTAAAATTCAATGGAAAAATACCCTGGAGTGAGGATTATCAACAACAACAAAAGAACTCTGTCTTTTGTAAGTATTTAAGTAGGAGTATCCAATGGTGATATTCTGTGTATCTCTATTGCCCCCCTCAGACCTTGGACTGCCAGTGCCCTTTACCACTGGTAGCCATTAGTGCCTTTAAATCTAATCAGATTTGGGAACCAATTACAGAACACCATAACCAATTCAGATAACTCATTCTTTTAAAACAAATTTTTAAATGTATTTTAGAGACAGGAAGGGGGGGGGGGAGAATCCCATGGATTTTTGTTCCACTTATTTATGTATTTATTGGTTGATTCTTGTATGTGACATGACTGGGGATCGAACCTGCACAAATAACTCATTCTTTTTTAATGTTTTTATTGATTTGAGTGAAAGAGGAAGAGAGAGGGAGAAAAACATTGATATGAGAAAGAAACAGATTGGATGCCTCTCGTAGGCACCCAACAAGGGATTGAACTCAAAACATGGGCATGTGCCCTGACCTGGAATTGAACCTGTGACCTTTCAGTGCATGGGAGGACACTCAACCAACTGAGCTACACTGGCCAATGTGATAACTCAGTCTTAAGATTCTGTTCCTCTAGAATAAGTATGTCAAACTCAAAGGCTAACACGGGCCAAATAAACAAGGTTTAAGTTTATGTGGGCCGCAAAAAAAATACCCAAAAGCTTCAATTTTCATAGAAACATAGGTTTTTGTTTTTTTAAAATATATGTTTAACTGATTTTTTACAGAGAGGAGGGGAGAGGGATAGAGTTAGAAACATCAATGAGAGAGAAACATCCATCAGTTGCCTCCTGCACTCTCCCTACTGGGGATGTGCCCACAACCAAGGTACATGCCCTTGACTGTAATCGAACCTGGGATTCTTCAGTCCGCAGGCCAACTCTATCCACTGAGCCAAACCAGTTAGGGCTAGAAACGTAGGTTTATTTCGATAGAGACATCTTGAAAACAAAGGGCTGAAATAAATGAGTGATCATTAACAAAAAAATAATAGAACTTTTTTTTCAAAATATGTTTTTATTGATTTCATAGAGGAGGGGAGAGGCAAAGAGATAGAAACATCAATGATGAGAGAGAATCATTGATTGGCTGCCTCCTGCATGCCCCCTACTGGGGACTGAGCCCACATCACAGGCATGTGCTCTGACCAGGAATTGAACCTGTGACCTCCTGGTTCTTAGGTCGAAACTCAACCACTGAGCCCGCTGGCCAGGCAATACTGGAATCTTAAGAATGTTTTCTTCTTGAGATACTTCAGTTTGAAATTAAGGCCTTCAATTGACTTGATAAGATCCACCCACATTATTGAGGGTAATCTCTTTTAGTTAAAGTCCATTGATTTTAGATGTTAATCACATCTTCAAAATACCATCACAATAACACTTAGATTTGTGTTTGATTAAATAATTAGTTATAGCCTAGTTAACATATAAAATGAATCTCTAAACATAATAAACTTAAGAGATTTCTCAACCAATCTTACTTTCAACTTTTAAACAAGACTATCTTACATGATCCAAAAGGCAGTAAAATTTTAGTAAGGGCACTTTGTGAGTGGACTGGAGGGACAGTCCTTCCTCCAAGACTTTTTAGAGAAACAAACCTTCCATAAACCACCTTTCTTTCTTACCTCCAAGAATATCATTCTTGGGAAGCTACAACATTGTATCTACATTTTAAAAACTGTGTTTACAGAGTGCTGATGGAAGGGGCGTGGATTCGATTTCCCTGTCAAGGCATGGACCTAAGTTGCAGATTTTATCTCAGGCCTGGTTGGATCATGTGCAGGAGGCAACCAATCAATGTGTCTTTCTCACATCAATGTTTCTCATTTTCTCTCTTTACTCCTGCCTTCCTCTCTGTCTAAAAATCAATGGGGAAAAAATATCCTTCGGTGAGGATTAAAAAAAAAAATTATCTTCGACTCTACACCAGAAATTACACTTTAAAATTGCAAGTCAGAGTGTTCTAACTTTGAGAACCAATGACTTAAAAAGCGGAATGGTTAACTACTAAATCAGTTGCTTGCCTTTACTCTGACCAGAAAATTTACAAGTTGCTACTTCATTTCTTTCACTGATAAAATATAATTCAAACCAGGAGAAATCTAAACCAGGTGGTGTGAGTGGGTGAATAGTGGGCCAAATAATCAAAACAGCACATAAAGCAATCTTAAAACGGTTTGAAGTAATTCGTCTGAACTTTTATAACAAGTTGCTTTTTAAAGACCTTCCTTGGCAATTCATTCATTCAATTAGCAAGCACCACTATGAGGCAGGCACTATTAAAGACACTCAGGTTAAATCCCCGAACAAAATGATGATCCTGTCTTGGGGGATCTTATACAACTATTTTTTCTCTGAACATTAAACATCAAGCATTAAGAATTATCAAAATATTTTCTGAAAATCTACTGTTTGCCAGCCAATTTCTAGTTGTGAGTTTGGCTTTCTAAGCAGGCACTGTTTCATTATTAGCATAGTCTGGTCTTTGGAGCTAGACCGCCTTGGTCCAAATCCTAGTTCCACTAATTCCCAAATGCACAACCTTGGCCAAGTTATTTAACCTTCATCTCTAACACAAAAATAATCATAACTATCCCACTGGATTATGTAAGAATCGAATGAGTTCAAATGTGTAAAGCACTTAATCTGGCTGTCACGCAGAAGGTACTAAAATATCAGCCACTTTAATTTTAATTCAATTTCCAGAAAAACAGATATTACACATGTAATAACAGGGAAAAATAACACCCGCAGTAACTTTCAAAACATTTCTACCTGGTGGTCCATTTACTCCCTCCATTATTACTACTTTCAAGAGTTCTTCTATTCTCAACTGAATATACATGACTTCCAGTTGAGCTTTATAAAAACTACAAAATGTGAGCTCTACCTACCTCATGCACACCATCAACCCATGGTGGAGTTTGTGTAAACACAGAGGAAGAAGCATTTAATCTAATAAGAAAAATTTCCCTAAAATTATTTATGTTAAAAACAGGCCTCATTCATTCTTGGGTCCAAAGGTTATAACGCCCACATTTTAGAAGTGACAAGGGCTGTAAAGGAAGCACACGCTGCGAATGTTGCCTTCCCCAAAGCGAAGTCTACTCATTAACATAACTGCCCTTACTGACCAGTCCGGCAGCCCAGTAAAACACTCTTTCAAAGCTGCTTGTAAAGGGATTGATTTTGGGAAAGTATAATTCAAGATGGGCTGCAAACGTGCTCACGTTCTTACACCACGAAGGTGGGGAGGTGCTGAGGCACAATCAAGTTCCTATGCCCACACGTCAATCATCTTAGCCCACGGGGTCGGTTGTGACCCGTCTCCGACTGAAGGCCCTCAACTACGGAGCGTCCCGGTCTCAGTACAGTAGGTGCCTTCGCCTCTCCAGTGCACAGCCGGGGATGGATGGACAAAGAAAGCGCTGTCTCCCGCAACCCTCCCATATCAAAGTGCAGGCAACACAGATGGCCACGCTACGAGGCTTTTCTCTAGACGAGGTGTGGGCTGCCCTTTCTCCAGAATCTCACAACCCGGAAAGGCCTCCCTGGAAGGAGGTCTGGTGCCACTTCCCAAATAGGGCGATAGGGAACGAGCTGCTAATCCCTCGGGAGAAGGCAAGATGTTGCCCAAGACAACTCCGATAGCGGGGGCGCTCACACCCCTCCTCGGCAGGCTTCCGAGAAAGGGAAGAGCAGAGGGTGCAGAATTACAAAGCAGAAAGCTAAAACACAGTCCCAAAGGCAGATGTGCAAGGACACCGGCCCGACAGAGAAGGGCGGGGGTGACCTCTTTCGGCCGCGGCGGCGGTGGGGCGGGCCAGTCCGGATCCCCGCAGGTGGACCTCGGCCACAGCCCGAAGGGCCGGGCAGGGGTCGGGTTCGCGCCCGGGTCTGCTCCCCAACGCGCACCGGGTTGAAGGTGTCCTCTTCACCCCTCCCGTTGCCCTTAAAGGTCTTGGGCCCAGGCTACCTCTAGGGCGTTGAGGCCGCCGCCGCTTCCCGCCGCGCAGGCCGGACGACAGCTCCTCCGAGGCCACAGCTGTGTCACTCAACAGAGTGATCCGGCCGAGCGTGGGTCGGGATGCCGGAACCCGCCGAGCTCAGGTGGACGCTCGCCTCCCACCACCCCTGGCCCCACCAGCCGCGCCCACTAGCAACGTGCTCGCGACTGCTGGACCCGCCGGCGCGTCTCGGAGCACGCCGCTGCGCGCAGCACGACGGGACTTGTAGTTTCGGCGCGAAGGTCGCGCGTCGCTCCACTCTCGGCCGAGTGCGACGTCACGTGACCAGCGCCCTCCCCGGAAGTGGCGTACCTACACACGCGTGGCGCGGCTCGCCGCTTCCGCAAACAGAACCGTGTGTGGCTGTATGGGTGAGTGTGCGGCTGGGACTGCGGCCCTTCTTTCCTTTGTCTGTGGGTCTTCCGCCACCATCAAGGTGGAAGGGGCGCTGCGACTCCCGATAGGAGCTCGCTTTAGCCTCGTGCCTTCGGTACCCTTCGCGAGGGGTTTATGGTGCCCTCAGCGCGGAGCCAAATGGGCAGTACTTGTGGGAGCCGGTGGGCGCTCTTGCTCCTCCAGACTTAGCGAGTCCGGGTCCCGCGAAGGCCGGGGAGCTGCCTTAGGCCGCTCTGCAGGTTCGGGCGGAGAGTGTGGGAGTGTTAGATATGAAGCAGCGTGTGTGTACCTTGACCGGCGAGTCCGAAACCCGAGCCGGAGGCTTGGCTTAAGAGCTAGGCCGCGTCAGGGACGGAAAAGGGTGAACTTGGCTGAAAAATTTCCTTCTCGCCTGGCCGCGACTTCTTGGGCCCTCGAGTTGACCCGGTCTGGCTGGCGGGTCGGGACGGAGAGCTTATCGCAGTTGAGCGTCAGCCCGGCGGTCCCAGCCCTGTGCTCGGTGGTTCTCTGTGGAGTGAAAGGGCGGAGATGGCTTGCGGTAAAGGTGCCTGGGAAAGCCGGGTCCGAACGTCTGGTCGTTTTCTTGCCTCTCCAACTCCGTATCAGTGGACTCGTCCGTAAGCCCCGTCCTCCAGGATTCTGAAGGGCAACACTCTTGCATTTTGGAGTCTATTCGTTGTTACACTTTGACGGTCGATTTCAAAAATTCTCACCTGTTTCTGCCATCGTTTGGAATTTATTGTCATTTATGCTGACCGTATTGATTATTTTAATGGCATCACATCTGTGGAAGTAGAGTTGCACATGTAAACTTCACACCTATTCCCAAAATAAATTTCAGGCGTTAGTTACAGCTAAAGAGGTCATAAGTCACATTGGTTTATCTCCATTTAAAACCTACAGTATTTCTGTTCTTTATTAGGAAATACATTGCAGAGAGGGGATGATAGGGGTTTGATCATTTGGAGGCCAGTTTTACGAGAAAATCATTTTTTAAGTAGTCATTCTGAAAATTTCTCTTTTGGGTGATCTCCTCTCCCCCCCGCCCCTCTGATTTGGACTTCTGGTCTCCCTTTCCCATTTGTTTTGAATAATACAGCCTAACATTTTAATAGAGTTACGTATGTATATGTAAGCTGAAAGCATCTGGAACAGTAATTCACACTGCTTCCTTGAGCTCTTCTGTAGTAAGAGTTGAGAAAATCTGTTAAGTGACGATAAATGGATCTTCATAACAATTCCTGTTCAATAGATAGTTCACTTATTTCCCTCCCGATCCATTAGGCCTAAGAACGTTTGAAAGAGTCTTAATGGTTAAGTTGCTGGCTGAGTCTTGAAACTTCTTATCCAAAGCCACTATCTTCACTTTTAAGGGATTTCAAAAGTCAACTACATGTTCCCAGACTTTTCTTGTTCTTGTTGCCCTCAGTGTCTCTGATGTGTGTTTTGTGTGTGTATTTTTTTCAATGTCTCCAGGCCAAAAGAAATACCTAACAGTACTACTCATTAGTAGTTTAGTCCAAAGAATTTAAGTATACCCTGGCTGATTTGGCTCAGTGAATAGAGCATCAGCCTGTGGACTGAAGGGGCTCAGGTTCAGTTCCGACAAGGGCACATGCCGGATTTGTGGACTCGATCCCCAGTGGGGGACATGCAGGAGGCAGCTGATCAGTGATTCTCTCTCATCATTCGTGTTTCTCTCCCTCTCCCTTCCTCTCTACAATCAGTAAAAATATATACATTAAAAATAATTTAAATATTTATGTCCCAGCAACTTTATTTAAAAAAATATTTTTGTTTAATATTTAGTTAGCCATGAGCCCTTTCTAATAGAATCTATGCACCTGTTGGATTCTGTAAAACTTCTCAAGCCTTGAAATAAGATTTGACATCACCAACTTCATTTCCTGTTTAATTGATTTTCTTCAGTGCCAAGAAAATACCTGCTTCACAAAGTTATCATGTCATTGCAAGGGATATAGTGCAATCTGCTCAGCTGAAATTGTGCTCTACTTGAATCTGTATCTGTGGTATCTTCCAGATACCAGATATCACTACGTTTCCCTTAAAATTTTAAAATATCCTCCTGTGCCCGTATGAGTTTGTTATAGTGCCCAGCATACAATTTGGGAACCAAGGCTATAGAGTAAGGATCAGAATAGAAAAGAAACTTATATGCCCCCACTTCATTTGTCAGTTTTAATGCCAATAGTGACTTTTATGGGTAAGATTGCTAAAAGGGTTTAGGGATTATAATTAGTACTCCCACATTAGTATATTCATAAGTTGACATTAATACATATTAATTAACATTGTTTTCATGAGATTTAAGAAACTCCTAGTTGACCACTGAAATTAAATGAATGGTTAGCTTCTGGTTAAAATTATTTTAAAGTGATTGTAAGTAATATCAAATTTGTTCCATTTCAGTGTTCATGAAGTTTTATCATCTATTTAAGTAACCAAAAATGGAAAATTCTGCAAAAGCAGAGGAATGTGAAAAGATCTCTCTTGAAGAAGAGAAAACATCAATAAATTCGGTAACAGAGTCTTCATTCAGCACTAATGAAAGCACAACTGCTCCTGGGACTCAGCTTTTTGAAAAGGCTCCTACGCAAGTAGATACTCCCCAAAAAAGAAAAATGGAGTTTGCAGATGATCTTGTAAAAGAGAATGACAGCTGTGGAGAAGACACTCCATCTAAGAAAAGAAAACTTGATGCTGAAGTTGTACCAGAGGAAAAAGGTTCTGGCGATGATGAAGGCATTTCAAAGAAAAGAAGGCTGGAAACTGATGATTTTCCAAAAGATGAACCTTCTCCTGTAGATGGCACTCCAAAAAAGAGAAAAAGAGAACTTGAGGATGAAAAGCAGAAAGTATGTTGAATGTATTTTATTTTATTCATAATGGAATATGTCAAATTGAAATGTGGAACAGCTGTGAAATACTGGTTTTTACATAATAACTTCAGAATGTTCTTTTTTATTGTATTAAGATAGCGTAAGCTTTTAATTCTTGTATTTTAATTGTTTTTATTTAGGTGAAACTTCTGCTAATGAGATATGCTAATATCATCTGCTAATTTTTATGATACCAGAACTCTTATTTGACTAGAAACTTGAAAGCTAGTTTTATGGTTTGCTTTTTCTTCGCATTTAAAAAAGACAAGAGTATGAGGCCCAGGTGATTTACCTTGTTTCATTTTTTATTGGGTGTTCATCTCTTTTTGTATCTGAAATAGTATCACTTGAAATGATACATTTCAAAATTATACCCAGTTTTACATTTCTTCCTTACTGCAACTCCTTTAACTATATTGTTTCAACTTCTTGTTTGGGTAGTTGCATACACTTTTAGCTAAGTGGACACAGGAGCCTGATGTTTAGCAGGGATATTGTAGAGCAAGGAATATCAAGTCATTTTCATCTGGGAATACCATATTGTGAAGGAATCAGAGATAAAATCTGGATCTGGAGGGAAAGAAAGCTTCAATGAATGAGTAAATTCTGCCATCAGCCATGAGGAGTGTGCTTAGATAGGCTAAGCATTTGTCATTAGTGGAGTGTGAATACTTGTAACAGAGAGGAGCTTGTATTATAAACTTAGTTTTCAAATTTTTACTAGCAGTGGAACCCTTTTCTCAAGTAAAAATCTTTGGTTGAACAAGAAGTATGGGGATCTGAAGCCCTGTACCTGCCATGGGAATTTTGCTGAATGCTCAGGGCCTTAAGTAGGGAGCATAAATTGAAAATGTTGAAATAGATTAATAACAAATAATAGTAAGAATCACTGGCACTGAACATAACTTACTGAGTTCTAATCCCTTTCTGTGTATGACCTCATGTAATGGTCACAGCTATTTTATAATTATACTAGAAGCCCAGTGCACAAAAATCTGTGCACTTGGCGGGGGGGTGGGGTGGAGGGAGGAGGGGTAGTCCCTCAGCCCAGCCTGCACCCTCTTGCAATCTGGAACCCCTCGGGGGATGTCCACCTGCTGGCTTAAGCCCACTTCCCGGGGGATCGGGTCTAAGCTGGCAGTCAGACATCCTTCTGGAAGCCCAGGACCCCTTAGGGGAGCAGGCCTAAGTCATTAGTTGGACATCCTTAGTGCCGCCATGGAGGCAAGAGAGGCTCCCACCACCACTGCTGTACTGGCCAGCCATGAGCCGGCTTCTGGCTGAGCAGTACTCCCCCTGTGAAAGTGACCGGTTGTGTGTCCCCCGCCCCCAGGGTCAATTTGCATTTACCCTTTTATTATATGGGATAATACATATTGCTCATTCCTATTTTATTTTCTTAGAGGAATCCCATCCACTGACTGGAATTTATTGAATTGAATAAATTAGAACATTGGAAGAGTATTTGTTTTATTAAAACATTGATAGTAAAATTATATAGACAAAAGATCAAGGTGAAAATTTTAAACCTAGAGATTTTTTTAAAAGTAGGGAATGAGGAAAAAAGCTTACATCTGATTATAATTAGTGGGATTTCTGTGGCTAATGCTGTTGTTTAATGAAATTTACCAATTTCCTTAGTATTTTATCCTTATATTGGTCAGATGCTCTTTCAGGTTTATTTTTTCCATGTTCTAATCCTTAATGTTGTTCCATTCTCTTATTTTCAGAACTTAGAAGAAGGACACAGCTCAACAGTGGCTGCCCACTACAATGAACTTCAGGAAGTTGGTTTGGAGAAGCGTAGCCAAAGTCGAATTTTTTACCTAAGGAACTTTAATAATTGGATGAAAAGCATCCTCATTGGTATGATTGATTTTTTTTTATTTATCCTT